ACTCAAAGAGACGGAACACTCTGACCATGTGACAGCAATGCAACAATGTTGACAGATCTGATCACTACATAAAAATCAACACTGATCATATTTCAGTTGCAAAGAGCACCACTAATGCTGCACAAAATCACAAAACACACAGAGACATGGATACAGAAATGCATCCAAATACAAAATATTTTGTGCACTTTGTTGTCTACATCTAAAGCCCAATTCATACTTCACTTTTCTGCATGCACTTTTGGGCTGGGGAAGGTCATGTGCACAGAAGCTTGTGTTCATACTACATTTGGCTGCCGATTTGGATAGTCACGGTCAGTGCATGCATACAGCAGTGATATTCCACCAGATGAGCAGAGGGCAGATGTATTGCAACAAACACAAATACAAACTATGTAGTGAAACAGGTGAACTTTTATGAACAGTTTTAAAGTTATTAGTCAAGGCTTGGCAAACAACAGTGTTTTGAAATATAACAAAATTAGCTGGGACCCAACCCCCCACCTGCACTGCAAGCTTTCTGGCCAAGATTTCAAAATGCTGGAATAGTGCTACTTTTTAAAATACTGTATACCTCAGTAAAATACCTGGACAGTATTAAAAAATTGGATGTGCCTGTTCCTCTGACCCTCCTCATACAGCTGCTCACCATAACTACTGCAACACCAACAACTATTCTTCCTCTACTCTTTTATTGTTTATTGGTGATCTGTGAAAGTCACCTACTGGAAACTAATCAATTATCTTGAACATGTGTGGTTGATGCACATGGATGTGCAAGGTTTCCACTACAAATAGAAATGCGGGCTACACACGCACCGACCTAAGTTGTCCGCAGCCAAACCTTGGTGACGAAATTTATGTCAGGTCCCCTTGTCTGTAACCGAAAGCACACCCAGAAAAGTGAAGTATGAATTGCCCTTTATGTCACCTTGGTGTGATCAAAGAACAAATCGCAAGGAATAGGCCACAGTGGGCTTTAATTGGAACCTGTGTGACCACAACAGATGCCAGTCTATAAACCATGACTCAAGACCTTGCCATTCCATTTGGTGCCTGACAGGTATCATTCATTATGTAAACACACTTTCACTTTTGTGTTATTTTCTTTTTTTTTTCCAATTTTCATTACTTTCCAGTAATACATTATAAGTACATTCTGTCTATGAATGGATAATGTAAATTCTGTTGTTAAAAAAGTAATTTGGAATTACCTGCTATTGTTTTTATTTTGCTTGAATATGATGTACAAACTCTTTTACAAAGATGCTATGAATGGTATCCTTACATATCACTGAAAATTTGCCTTTCAGTCATACAGTTCAGTTGATCAAAGCCAAGTATGTAGTGTGTCTACATAGGTTTAAAAACAGGAAAACCAGCTTGAGTCCGTTATAGTTTACTACTGAGTGTAGTTAAATTAAGCAATGAAAAGGAAACTGCATGCAGACACCAAGATTTGCTGTACAGTAAATGCAAATTTATTTTCTATGACTAATAAAGATGGAAATAGAGCAATGGAAGAAATCAAAGGTTCTCAGTATGTTCTACTTCTCTAACAGTATCAAATTTAAGTTGACTTTGTACAAAAGGACAAGCTGATTTTTTTTTATTTTTTTTTAGCTATTTAGCTGATAGCTGCAGGTTTTGTATGTTGATACATGGGCCATTTTCTTATATGTAACTTTATGCTGGATTTCCATATTAGAATTTAGGATACTTAATTCCTCTCTTTGTTAACCCCTGCTTTTACCTGTCTAAGGTAAATGTGCCGCACCTCTATGCAAATGAGAGCACTGGAAGAAATCCAGTACATGTGTGTCATGAAGTTAGAGGCATTACATTAGAAAGAAGTGAAGTAACTTGCTAGTTTACCAAGTCTAGTAATGCAAAAGGTTATGACTGTCATTATAAATGAAGCTATAGTTGTTGAAGGGGTTGTCTTATCAGGACAATCAATGCAAAGGGGAAGCAATTTTATGAGTACAATGTTAGTTTCTGATAGCTACAATACGCAAACAGAACTGTAACTAGCTTTTTTTTTTTTACTCTGGTAAAGGGAGGTGTTTATTTTGCCTTAAGATTCACTCTGAAGTCATTTAAAGATCCAGGGCAAATGAAGTTTTAGTGAGAACAAAAACCTCATAATCATCTGACACCTGTTAACTGTCTTCATATATAAACCATTCATATCTTTATGTGCCATTTACAAAGTTCTAACAGACCAAGTGGACAATTCATAACAGGAAAAGGGCATGTGACTTTGAAGGAATTAAATTATGGCATATTTATATATATATATATATATATATATATATATATATACACACACACACACACACACACACACACACACACACACACATACATACATATGGGCTGAGACATCTATCACCCTATCANTATACACACACACACACACACACACACACACACACACACACACATACATACATATGGGCTGAGACATCTATCACCCTATCACAATTTTCCTTCATTTTGGATGGGTTTATGGGTTTACATTCAGAGAAAGACAAAAAATGCCTTCAGTCTATTATCTACAACCAGCTGTTATAAACATGGTGGGGAGTCTGTCATGGTCATGGTCATGATCTGTCATGATTGCACTGGAATGTATGGTCTTTTTACAGGACCAGGTGCATCCTGTGGTGCTATCACTGATGGCCACATGACAGTCCTATATATACATTGATTAACACGTTCAGGAATTGTTTCATGAACAGCAAAATGATGTCACAAAACTCCATCACCAGATATAACTATCACTGAACCTTTATGTAAAGTTGTGCAAAACAGATTTTCACGGCCTCCTTCATCCCTCAAAGGACTGCACGTTTTTCTCCCAGAATAATGGTCTGATATCTCACTACCCACACATGAGGACTTTTATTGCGGCCTTCCAAGAAGGCCTGAGGCTGTTCTGAAGGTAAACCATCGCTCTGTTCCTTATTAGGTCCTTGATATTAATACATTGTTAGGTGTCAGGGTATTATAAGTTTCACTGATCCGTGAACACAAATCATAAAAAACAAAACTATTCCACATTTTATATTTAAGTGTCGAGCAACGTTTACATACTGTACGCTAACAAGTTAAACAATTGAACAAGACAATTTATTTAAACGCCATACAAATTATTTTTCCACTTTTGCTACCTCAGTCACCACATTATTATTATTATTAGTAGTAGTAGTAGTAGTAGTAGTAGCAGCAGTAGTAGTATTCCATCCATTTTCTACAACTTAATGGCAGATGATTCGAACTATCTGAATTTTAAAATGCGTGTTACCAAAAATCGGAATCGGAGCAAAATAGTCATACTTTTCACCCATAGGTCCCCAAACTTTTCAGCGTACGATCCCCAAAATAACAGTACCAGAGACTGGCGACCCCCATTCTGCGGTGGGTGGTCCCCCTCGGCAGATTTCGCCAATCGGGGGGTGGGAATAGTCTCCCTCGGTAGATTTCGCTGATCAGGGGTGGGGGCTGGGCATGTAGATTAATTTAAATTAACATATTCTGGAAATCAGCCCTCGATCCCTCCGTCGGTATCTTGCAACCCCTCCGGGGGTCGCAACCTTCATTTTGGGAAACCCTGCTTTTACCTATCTAAGGTAAATGTGCCACACCTCTATGTAAATGAGAGCATTGGAAGAAGTCCAACTCATGTGTGTCGTGAAGTTAGAGGCATTGCATTAGAAAGAGGTGAACTTGCTAGTTTACGAAGTCTAGTAAGGCAAAAGGTTATGACTGTCATTATAAATGATGCAATAGTTAATGTGGTCCTCTTTTTTCAAGACAACCAATGCGAAGGTGAAGCTATGTTTTAGGAGTATAATTTTGGTTTCCGATAGCTATAACGCGCAAACAGAACTCTAACTAGCCTATTTTTTTACCCTAGCGAAGGGGCGTGTTCTTTCTATCTTGACTGAAAACCCCGCTCTGTCTACTATGCTATCTACAGCACATCTGAGTCTGAAAAAATACCTTCTTTACTAGACACCAGAGTATCTGGGGTTTCGTCTTCCTCGCAAATAAACCATGCCATCGTGGATTGCCGGAGCCGTGTAAATATACCGAAAAACGCTTGCTTGAAGACATAATGGAGGACTAACACAGAAGGACGCTGCTATATCGAAATTTACCGGCTTTTTCGGCCAAGGCGTAGCTAGCAGCTACCCAGTTAGTAATCGAAAAGCCTCGGCTCCGCAAGCGCCCAGTTGTCGAGCTTCGTTTGAAAACAAGGTAAACTTCTTAACGCGGGTAATTTGGTTCGTGCATAAAATGGCAGTTTTGTATTGATGGCGACATGTTGTGTTTATGTTTTTTATATTCTGCATGAGTAACTAGCTAGCCGTTCAAAACTACCTAGGTAACTACTTATCTGCAACTCATTCCCTGCAAACACTATAACAATACTTTCTGTTTTTATATACACGGGACTTGAGAGAATTGGCAAATGTTGTCCGCATTCGCCGTTACAGTTCTTGATTCATAAACGTGAAGTATGAGCTTGGGTACACCGCTTATGCTTTAACGGCTAAAATGGCTGACATCTCCTTCTGGGAATATGCGCCTTCAACCGAACTATGTCAGCTGAGACAAATTTGCTCGCCCGTGATTGGTCGAGAGTGTGCTTAATACTGCCACCGTCCGTTGTAATTGGCCAGTGTGAAGCCCATTTTGTGGTAATCACACTTGGTAGTACCTGGCGGTTTCAGAGGAGAGAAATTCCAGAAACCCTTCTGAAATGTGGAGGAAATATGCTGAAGAGATTAAAACCATTGTTAAGTACCACAAAGTGAACATATTTCCGGGCTTGAGTTCAAGATTGATTGACATGTCATTTTACACCCCGTATAGCTAGCTGTATACCTTGCTTGAAATGGAGCGATGAGGACGGTGGATTTTAGACGACTCCGCCCCCTACTCATCAAAAATAAAAACATACCGTTTGTTTAGTAGCGAGCTCGTGGGGGGTGGGGTGGTGAAAAGTTTTAACACGTTGAATTGTAACGTTTGTCACATTATGTGACCTGAAGCTTCAAAGCAACATATTCGTCAGAAAGTTGTTTTTTCCCCTCCCGATTACTAGATATTTTTTTTTTAACCAGCGGGGCCATATTCGTGTAACTAACCACCAGTCACAGCCTGGTTTCAACAGTTTCGATTTCTCAATAAGAAGTGGCATATTATTTACACACCCCCAGGCATCTGTCTTTCGGGTTGTTTGACGCGTTTTTTACTTTTGTTTGTCCAAGTAATCAGTGGCGTACCTAACCCCGTAACACAGGTGAACCGGCGGCCTACAGTGGGCTACTGCGCTAAATCCAAAGCCGTTTGAAAGTCGGCGCACTACAGTGCCGCTGGGGGATGGGCTGCTGTACGCGTGCGGCTTACGTACGGCGTCGCCGCGAGACCACTTCGCGATCATAAATGCGGTCGCTGCGCCGGTCCTCAGCGGGACGCTGCAATAGACGGTTGTTGCATCACTATCGCGAATAGATGTTTATTATCATGTTATCCGGCGTCTTTCTAACCCAATGATGATCTAATTCGGAGTAAGTTAAAGAATTTGCTTACTCTGCCAGTGCACTTTGCATGTCCTCCTGTGTTAAGTGTCTAAGGGGGTTAAGTGTGGACTTTTGATAATGTTTTTAGGGAATACATTTTAAAAGGAAAGATGTAACTTGTTGATAAAAATTATGAATTGCAATCATTATATTCATGGTTGCCTTGAGTGCTTTTATTTTCTGACACGGCTGTAGATTTGGCTATGGACGGTAGGAACACTTCCATGCCAGTATTGCTGGAGTACCTCATGTGTTGCCGGGGTTCAGGGCTTATTTATTTATTCTTTGCCAATATTAAAGTAGAGTAAATGTCACATCTGCGTGTGTAGTAGAGTGTAAGTCATGTATTCAAATGTATATTTGTGTGTGTCATATATATATATGCACTGTATCTCAAGCAATCATGGTAAATGAAAGTCACACTTACATTTTAACTTTCCTACCTGTTGTTCTGCACCTACACCTGGTCTGTCCTTCACACGGTGTGCAGAGGCAGGCTGCAGGTCCATGAGGAAGCCACGGAGGAGAGGCCGCCAGACTGGGGGTGGCGTGAGTGGGGGGGGTCCTGGCTATCAGAGGGCCCCTTCACCCTATAGCCTAAAACTGTCACCAACCAGAGAGACCCTGACATATGCACAGGCACAGAAAATGGTGGAGGTGGACCTGGATGGCAGGCTTCATCGGATCAGCATCTTTGATCCACTCACAGTCATCACAGAGGATGAAATGACAGCTCAAGACATCTCTGAGTGCAACAGCAACAAGGAAAATAGTGAACAGCCACCTTTCTCCGGTGAGGCTAAGCCAGGACGACGGGCACCCTTGCCCAAGGGCCGGAAGAGGGATGCCAAGCATAGTACAAGTCTGCCAAATCACCACCACCTTGGCTCGCAGCAAGTTCCAGTGGCACCATCAAATGCTCAGCCCAATTCTTCCCACTGCCCCAGCCCATACAGCCCTCTCCCTGTGCCCACTTTCCGTGTTTTGGACACAGTCTGCATGTCAGAGGCGCCGCCATTGCCCAACGCTTATTACCGTTACATTGAGAAGCCAGTGGAGGAGCTCGATGCACAGGCAGAGTATGACATGGATGAGGAGGATCTAGCCTGGCTTGAGATGGTGAATGAGAAGCGGGTCTTGGATGGGCAGACTGTAGTTTCCCCAGACACCTTTGAGCTGCTCATGGACCGGCTGGAGAAGGAGTCCTTCCTGGAGTCCCGGAGCCTAGCGCCAGCTCAGGGCACCATCGACGAGGATGCCTTTTGTTGTGTCTGTCTGGATGACGAGTGCATCAACAGTAATGTTATTTTGTTCTGTGACATCTGCAACCTGGCAGTGCACCAGGAGTGCTACGGCGTGCCCTACATCCCTGAAGGGCCTTGGTTGTGCCGCTGTTGCTTGCAGTCACCATCTCGGCCAGTGGACTGCGTGCTCTGCCCTAACCGGGGTGGCGCCTTCAAACAGACCAGTGATGGGCGCTGGGCGCACGTCGTGTGTGCCATCTGGATCCCTGAAGTCTGCTTCGCCAACACAGTGTTCCTGGAGCCAGTGGAGGGTGTAAGCAACATTCCTCCAGCACGCTGGAAGCTTACCTGCTACCTGTGCCAGCAGAAGGGCCGCGGGGCCTCCATCCAGTGCCACAAGGCCAACTGTTACACAGCCTTTCATGTGACCTGTGCCCAACGAGCTGGGCTCTTCATGAAGATTGACCCCGTGCGTGAAACCGGTGCCCACGGAACTACATTTACCGTCAAGAAGACGGCCTTCTGTGAGGCGCACACCCCACCAGGGGGCAATAGGCAGGGGGCAACTGGCTCCGACGACGACGACGAGACCGCGGGCAGGCAGGTGGGGGGCAGGGGCACACGGGCCCGCAGCTCCTACACACAGACCTGTGCTGCACCACAACGGCATCGGGGTAAGAAGGCAAGCAAACTGCCAAAGAAGAAGTCAAAGAAGGGTCTGGAGGTGGCATCTCGCCGAGCCTCCATGCCGCTGGTCACGGTGCCACAAATCCCCTCCCACAGGTCAGCTTCAGCAGTATTTAAAAAGTTTTAAGGATTATTTTTCAAGCAGTTCATGTAGCAGATTTTAATTATTAAATGTAAATAATTATGAATATATATTATTCATGTATATTTGGTCAAATGACAGAAATGTATGATTGACGTTTCCTGTAACTAATAAATATTGAATTTTAGTTCAGTGATTTTCAAAAAGATTCCACTGTTAATCATATATGATACCTAGTTGGGCAATTTAGGGAATGGATATGGGTGGTACTAAAGAAAATCCAGATGTTTTGCTCAGTGTGGATTTATTTTGACTCCTACACCCTAAAATAATTTACCTTAACACCCTGTAGTTCAATATTAATTTGAGCTAAGAAATCAAGTATAGATTTGACATTGAGAACACTTTCCAAAAGATTCTTATACTAGTAGAAATCACAACAAACCTTTTGAATCCTTTTGATTTCTATGTAATGGAACTTTCTTGTACTGCAGGTTGAACAAAATTTGCAAAGGGGTCCTCATTCAACGGAAGAACCAATTTATGCAGAGGCTTCACAACTATTGGTTGTTAAAGCGTCAATCACGCAATGGTGTGCCTCTGATTCGTCGGCTGCATTCTCATCTACAGGCCCAAAAGAATGTGGAGCAGGTTAGGTATCTGGTGGGTTGGGGTTTGAAGTCGAATAATTTTGCTTAGAACATATGATGTGGAATAAAATTGTAACAGATGTTTCTTGTTTTCATAATTGGTGCAAATGTCACAATCTCTTGCCTTGGTTTCGGACATTAAACTTTTTCATGTATATGCTTGTGTCTCCAGGCAGAGCCAGATGAGAAGCTGAGTGCTGTGAGGGAGGAGCTGAAGTACTGGCAGAAGCTGCGGCACGACCTGGAGAGGGCCAGGCTCCTGGTGGAGCTGATCCGGAAAAGGGAGAAGCTGAAGAGGGAGCAGGTATTGAGGTTGAAAGGGTTACTAACAAGTGGAAAGTTCTAGTCCAGAAAGTACAAAATACAAATCCAGACCAGTATTTTGTTTCAACTGAACAGTTGAGTAGAAAGAGTCACATTCACAAAGTACTCAACCGGTTGGTTGAAATGAAATCTTGGTCCAGATTTGTACTTTCTGGACCTGAACTTTCCACCTTTGGTCACTGGGACCGCAGCTAATTATTGTATTGCAGCTGCAGCTAAAAATAATCTCTTTGGTTTTCATTGGGTAAGGTGTTCATTTGATATTTTGGAGAAGGAGAGGTTGATTTGACACCCTCCTCTTTTTAATTTTAGCTGGTGATGCATATATCATCAGTGTTTGTTCTTGCCTCTTTCTCCAGGTGAAGGTGCACCAGGCGGCTTTGGAGCTACAGCTAACCCCTGCACTGGTGCTGTTCCGCTCCACCCTGAACCAGCTACAGGAGAAGGATGTAGCGCAGATCTTCGCACAGCCGGTTAACCTCAAAGAGGTCAGTTTTGATGTCTGTTCATTTGTGTCTTATTTGATTCCTACCAAGCGCCAGTCAGGATTCCCTTTTGTTTCCAGAACATCCTCAATTCTTCGGGGCTTTAATTGAAATAGGTGCTACAAAAATTACTTTTGGATTTTGGTCCATTTCATAGCATTGTTATGGTCCTGCAGATTTTTCAGTCACAAATTCGTCCCAAAGTTACTTCTTCATTGAGTTAACATCTCGGTACGGTGGCTTCCCGCTGATCCTGATTTACGTAAGGAGTTTAAAGATCATCTGGTGTGGACAATAAGATATAAGCATGATTACAGGATGTGATTTAGGGCTGTCACTATTTAACATATCAATAATCAAGTAATCTCCTGATTTAATCTGACAATTCATTGAGTAATTGTGTATATTCAGTGTAATATAGCATAATAAATACATGGTAATTGATGCAAGGTAAGAACCATGTTAACACAGGGTGAACATGCAAATTCCACACATACTCACTGTGACACTATGCTGCCTTCAGTACTAGGCTTGCACAATGTGCAATGTTAATATTGGCATGGCTTGCATGCACATGCGACTGTCGCATTGCACAGAAGATGATGCAATTGTAACAATGGTTCCTCTTTTCAGCATTATGTAGTATATGGGAAAAAAATGTCAGTCTAAAGTTTACCGCTTTTGCATGAGCTCTCAATGCACTCTGAGACAATTATAATTGTTCTCCTCCTTGCTGTTTAATTGACTCGTAGACTGTCCGGCACGTTCGTGAGAAATTAAACAAAATGGGTGAAAGGGAGAAAAACAAGAATCGGTCAAAAAAAGACGTTCAGCTTGGAAATATTTTGTATTCCATGGAGGCCATATTAAGCAAAAGCAAGTGATTTGTCAGTACTGCTTTGTGTCTGTTGGCACAACTAAGGGCAATACCACTAATTTATTTGACAGACTTTGTTGGTTGATTAACTATATAGGCAAATGGAACTTATTTTAAATTCTTAAATATCACAACATCTTTAAATATCATGATATGAACCATCCAATATAATTTAGCCCTACTCAGACACAAAACACTCACAAAAATATTACATAGTTATCTATCATATTATATAGTTATATAAATATTTTATAGTTACTCTGGTATGGTAGATTTATCCTCCCCCCCCCCCCCCCAAGTTGATAAGTGACAGATCTTTGTTATTCTGTTTAATTTATTAGCGGTTATTCTGACATAAAGGAAATTAAGCAAAACTATAGGTCAAAGACAGGCTAGGCTACTCCGAGAAGCTAAACGGTGTGTATCTATGGCTAACCTCGCATTATTGGGTGAGTCTGTCGAACCTGAATGTCTTCTTTCACCTGTATTTGCATTGCCTTCGTGCTGTGGTGATATTTAAGTTCTGTTTTGCAATGTAGACAACTGCATATTCATTCACTTTTAATGTGAAGTGGTTCCACACGAGTGATGCTTTCACTCTTTATTTGGACCCTCGTTCACTATGCGGCATCTTCCTTCTGCCGTAGTTATCGAGAAGGAAAATTATAATCGAGTTTGAGTAATTGTGGCTGCTTTAATGTTGATGTATTACGTTTAAGGATCATCAGGTGTGCAAGTAAACAGATACAAGCATGATTGTAGGATGTGATTCAGTGGTTTTTACATTTCAAGATCGTTAGGTGTGCATGATAAGATATAAGGCTGATGACAGGATGTGGTTTGGCGGTTATTACGTTTCGTGTTTCCATTTAAAGCTATGCTTAGCTTTTATGTGAGCTGATTCATATCCCTTTCCCTGGTTGGTTTATTCATAAATAGGCCTGTTTATTTCAAAACAATGTAATATTTAAATGGGAATTTTTTGTTGTATTGACCCCCCCCGCTCCCTGGGCGCTACTATGGGTGGCTGCCTTTCGTGGACAACTTACTGTACAAAGAGCAAGCTGAGGGAGGCGTAAAAAAAATTCCCCACGGGGAGAATAAAGTATCAATTATTATTATTATTATTATTATTATCATCATCATCAATTTGGTATTGATGCTGAGGTACCAAAGCTGATATCATTATCAAAGTCCAAATATTGGTGTTGATCCAGCTGCACCAGACTCTCACCCCACCATCTAAATGCCTCAACAAAAATCAATCATGGAAAGAAAGAATAAAACCCATTGTGGTCTTCTGCTGCTGTAACCCATTGCCTTAAGAAGTTGTGCTTTCAGAAATGCTTCTCTGCAGACCTGTTTTGTGCTGTTGTTAGGACTGGGCGATATCATATCGATATTGCATTGCGCATGTGCAATAATCACCAGGGCTTCAGATGACAAGCGAAACATTTGGCCAGGCACCAGCCTTTTGGTGCTATTTGGACGTTTATTTATGCCCACAATTTATTACGCAGATTAGTAGTATGGCTAAAATGTTAAGGAGGCATTGTATAATACCCAAAAGTCAGTATCAGTATAAATATGGCATATACTTATGTTTAATAATCGTCAGTCAATAAACTGCAAAAAGTACTGCCATACCACAGACGTCTTTTTACCTTGTTTATCTGCTAGATCTCCTCTTTTGAAAGATGTCGTGGCTGCTGCTCTTCACCACGACTTATATCAAACCGTAGTACAGTAAGCCCTTGTGCATTCGTGCTTTGTGATTCGCAAATTCACAGATCAGCGAAAATTTAATTGGCACCGAACTTATTTGCATCCATGATTTTTTTCGCACATCTGCGAGATCCTTGAAAAACCCTACAAAAGTGTTTAATTTTCGTAGTAATTTATACGTTTTCGTGCTTTTAAGTGTAAAATTGGTAAGAAATTTAGTAAATGAAGATTCTACTGTGTTTTTAGGGAAAGTTCAAGACATACAATATAAATCCCTTAAACATGGCTTTCTTATGGAAACGTTCCTTTTTATGTACATACTGTACTGTACCTTTACAAGATGCGAATCCCATTTGCAAAGTTTATTCTCTTTGAAACTGTCATGACCTGCTTGTCCGATCCTCCCGTGTGCCACGCCCCTTCATCTACCTCGTGTGGAATCCCCGTGTGATCAGCTGTTTCCAGCTGCTGTCATTAGTCCTGTGTATTTAAGTCTGCATTTAAGAATGTTTCCCGAGTCCGGTCATTAACGTCATTTTGAGTTTGCTGCCTGTTCCATTGTCCTGCTTGTCTTTACCTTTTGATTAAACCCCGTGCTCCCCGATCCCTTGCGTCCTGTCCCTGCTTCCCCGGTCCGTGCCCCGGCAATATGAGACAGGAACGCTAATGGTTACATAAATATTAGAAAATAGTTAATTTACTATTTTGTAATAGTAAGTACACGTTAACGTAAATTCAACGCACAAAAATTATACATTTCTTGAAAGGTGCTAATGTTTACGTACATAGCAAATGCGTCCCGGGTTTCCCTTTCGAGACGCATTTGCTATAAACATTGAAAGGTTTCATTTACTCATTTTACCTTACTGTGAATGCAAAAGAAAACGGCAGCCAATGCCGTGTTCTATGAATTAGTAGGGGTAACATTAGTATACTGTACTGTAAATGTGCTAGTGTGACAAATATCCGTTAAGCAATACTGCACTCTATCTTTACATGAAACATTTGTTTTTTTAAAGGTAATGTATTAAGCTAACTTTCAGATATGATTCAATTAGGCTTGGATTGAATATGGATTAGATCAGCTGAAGTGTCCTACTTTAAGTAAAAACACATATTTGGAGAGGTGGGAAGAGTGTAGAAGTTGTGGGGTTTGGGAGGAGTTGGGATTAAGGGGGGGGGGGGGCGTGGTGACAGGGCCGTCTGGGGAATACGTTGTCATTCCCACAGTCTCTAGTTTTACTGCATAAATCATTTTAGGCCATAGGAACCTGAAACTGATCATACTTACAGTTACTATGCAGTGATAGTGAGAGGGAGCTCACATGGTACTATTACACTTCATCTGACTATTTATCTAGTGAATTAAGTGCTATGTCATAGTGCCTGATAAAGCTCTGGAGGAAGACCTCCATCTCTCTGCTGCTTTGAAAACATCCCCACCCCCTGCAGGTACCAGACTATCTGGAGTTTATATCCCAGCCCATGGACTTCTCCACCATGCGCGCCAAGCTGGAAGCCCACGCTTACCGCACGCTCACGGAGCTAGAGGGTGACTTCAACCTCATGGTAGCCAACTGCCTGCGCTACAATGCCAAGGACACCGTGTTCCATCGCGCCGCGGTGCGCCTGCGCGACCTCGGAGGTGCCGTTCTGCGGCATGCTCATCGGCAGGCCCACAGCACGGGGCTGGACCCTGACACTGGTACACACCTCCCCGATTCTCCACACCGGCATGACTACTACCGCTGCTCCTGGGAGGACGGTAAGTTTGTGGGCAGGGTTTGTACCAAGCGTGTGTGTCAGATCACCACCAGTGATCAGCTTCTCTGCCTTTTTTATTATTATTATTAAAAGCAGGTTTCAAATAAAGAGAAACTATAAAGGGCAGTAGTTTATAGTTTAGTTCATTTTGGTGTTGGATGCTATATTCTAGGGCTGCCATTAACTATTTTTCTATCGATTAATCTGTTGACTGTATTACAGATGGGTTGATTAATCTAGGCTATTAATTTTCCTCCAGGAAATGAAATTAAGTTAAAATAAAATTAACAACAACCAACTGTATATTATTGCAGGGCTTTAGATAATGGATGCTGGCTTTTTGACTCTATACAGACATTATTTTCACCCACAATTCGATTAGCAAATTAGTAGTATACCTAAAATATTAATGAGGTGTGTGTTGTGATGCCCAAAAGGTAGTAATCTGTATAAATTCGGCGTATCCTTATGCTTATTAATTTTGGTTAACGGTGCACGCTACATCGGTAAATCGTGGAAGCGATAAGCACTGCAGTCAAGAAAGGGACCAACTCAACAGGCACATCTATTAAAAACGAGGTAAAAAGACATTGGTGGTGTGGCACTGCTTTATGCTGATTAGTCTGACACTTTTTTGTAAATATAGTTTTAAATTTTTATTTCAGTTCACAAATTATTTTCTTTTATTTAGTGTAGGTTTTCGTTTCAATTTTAGTTTACGATAACACTGGTTCCAACAAGCTCAGTGCACATGAACACAGATTATCAGTCCAAGTAGAATAAGCCCAGATTTTAGCCTAAACATTTTCTCTGTTATTCAGTCTTCAATCTTATTCAGTGAAGATTCTAAGGTAGCAGGCAGACACCTTTATGGCCTTAATAATGTGTGTTTAGCAGCTACAAGAACAAAAGATATTAAAAAGCTCTCAATTCTATTGCTCATATAATAAACATGAATAGACAGCGTTTATGGTGGTTTTGCCTACTCCGGCGGTCCATCATCCAGAGTAGCGCCTGTGTATTTTTCCTTCAGGCCGTCGTACATAGAGCTAGTCCCTGTGGTGTATGCCATCGAACTTTGCACAGTGTAAAACCACCATTTTTTTTGATAATGATGATTGATAATTTAACTACTCCCATAATTACATACTGATATTAAAGGAAAACATTTGTTATAATGAATTGCAGCATTTTAGAAATCATAATGGTAATTCCATTATTATAATAAAAAATGATGCGTCCATTTAAAATATTGATGTCGACGCATTTTCAGTGTCGACATAATTTTACGTCGACTAATCGCGGCAGCTGTACTATATTCCTTAATGTCGGGTAACATTTAATGCTTTTTGATTATGTACCATTTAGCTTGAACAGTACTGTATGAGAGGAGCTCTGGGTGGGTATGACCAGAGCTCTGTGATTTATGGCATTTTTCCACTGCCACCAGGAACCAAGCCATACTTGAGCCACACTGCAAACTGATGGTTTTCCATTTTAAATGATCCGAGCTGTACCCACACTGACATAGCCCTGCTAAGCAGGACCTAAAACGTGACCCAAATGAGCTGGCTGCATCACCAACATCTGATTGGTCGAAATGCATGGAGATAACGGTGATCTGCATTGATATGCATGGATTATCTGACGGATAAGGGGGCATATTCTATATATTATTCATTATTAGTGGTATCGTATGCATCATGTATTGATGCATTCCTGATAACTCGGACCTTGAAAATATCCAACCTTCTGCATTAAAAATGACTAAATTGAAACAGCTGTGCAGGATGGTTTTGTAATTAAGATTTACACAAGTTAATGCTAATTCTGCTAGTGTTCGATGCTGTCACAAGACTTGTTAGTGGAAATTAGCATACAGTAAATCGTGATGTGAACAAGCATTTCTTCAGTTTTACGTCACTGTTACCCCTTTACCAAGCCCACCCTTCTACAATGAAAAATCGAAGCGAGCTGGAACCGCGCTGTAACGTGCCTCTCTTCATGGTAAGGGTCGGGTACAGCTTGGTTCCTGTATGCCAGTGGAAAAGCACCATTAGACTTGGGCAGGATATATATTGGCTTCTCAGAATGAATATGGTCTTGGCAGAGGAGTATCACAAGAAATATATTTTAACCCCCTTGATTCAGTTATAGAAAGCTGTAATGTGCTTCCCAGTTGCTTTCTGCTTTGTGGTTGTTATGGAACGAGGATGGTTATCATATCATTTTGTGTAAATGTGCTTAATTCCCCAGCAGAGTGCATAGTGTGCATGGAAACTGACAGATTCTCAGAAGGTTAAACTGTATTCAGTTTTAAGTGTAATCCTGCCAGCAAACTCCAGTTGTCCATTTTCTCCTTTTATTGCTTGTGTAAAATCACTTGGATGAGGCTGTTAAACTGGTATACCTTCCTGTCCCCATACGCACAGTGGACACACTTTTGGTGCCTGAGAACCGCCTGCACATGTCCCTGGAGGACCAGCTGAAGGAGCTTCTGGACAAGCTGGACATGGTCATGTCCATGGGTCCCAGTGGGGCTCGTACGCGGCGTATCCGCCTGCTGCGGCGGGAAATACACAGTGTGCGCTACAAGCATGACCAGCAGCGCCACCTACTGCAGCATAATGGTAGTGTCAGAGAGGAGAAGGAGGAGGAGGAGGAGGAGGAAGATGAAAATTGCATGGATGACAGCAATAATGTGCGTTTGGCATCGTTGTCTTCCAGCCCTGACAAAGGTGAGCAGAGTTATTACACATAAACCTGGATGGCTATTCCAGAAACATCTGTCATTTAGACAGATGGAAGTACATGCAGTCAGTCCTCTGGTGACATTGGAAATCAAACTCTTAACTAGAAGTGTTGATTTGAGTAGGATGTGCTGTTTGTGACCTGGCTGTAATAGGGTCAAGCTATGCTCCTGCTCTTTAAGCAACATGGTTTACTCTTTAAGTAAAAGAGTCCAACATGGTTTGTGGCTTCAACATTACTAAATTATGAGGATATGGAGCTACTGTTCAATAAAGCCAGACCTTATGCTCAAATACACGTGTTAAACCTATGGTGTTTTTCTCATCTGTCTTTAATAAAGTGGAAGTCTGCAGTTAACCTCTCTTTGTGCATCCAGATGAGATGAAACTGATACTTCCTCCAATGCTGGAGCCCACAGGTGCCGCCCTCCCCCCCCAACATGGGGAGGCCCCCCAGGATCCACCCACATTACAGCCAGTAGCCGCTGATTCCAGGCCCAATGGGCGTCCTCACAAGCACCTGAAGTCAGCGCCTGATGGCGACAGTGGAGCCAGGTCTGAGGAGGAGGGGCATGTGGCCTGCCTGTGCAGTGAGGGGGGGGCCGGCAGTGGGCGCTCAGCCCCTCCCCCTCCCGCTGCCGGCGTGGGCCGCCGCACCTCCGTTCTTTTCAAGAAAGCAAAAATCGGGGCCAAAGCTCCACGGTACAGGGATGGCCCTCTGCAGAATGGGGGGGGGAAGGGGGTTCCGGGGACTACGCCAGACTCCAGCCTGCTCCTGTCTGCTGGTGCAGCACCTCGGACCACACCCCCGCCCTTGCCAGCCGTACTGAGGCGGTCCGCCACTGATTCTGACACTGATGGGGATAAGTCACCTCCACCAGCCCAAGAGAGAGGTGAGGGAGTCCGGCTGCTGATAACTAATGATACCAAACAATCATCCATGTTTTATTCGTCCTCTAACTGCTTATTATGGTCAGTGTTGGGGGGCTGGAACCTATCCTAGGCTGGGTTGACCCCTAGGTGGGATGCCAGTCCATCTCAGGACACACACACACACACGCTATGGGCAACCCAACGAATTATGTCTGTGGACTGTGAGGGGAACCAGGAGTTACTGAAGGAAACAGCTTAGTATAAGTTGCCTTGACTAAACTTTTTTTATAGGTTTGGATTTTTATACTATACTCTGTATTTTGCAGCCGAGCTTAATTTCTAAGTCCTTACTCACCTTCCGGATCGTCTGGTTTTTGTTGCTGCACCATCATCTCACTGTTTAGCTAAGCAAAGGCTTTACACCAAGGTTCCCAGTTCTGGTCCTGGATGGGCCAGAATCTAACATAACTTGCAGATTTCCTTGCTCAGACACACCTACTAAACCCAGTAATGAGCCGATTAAGATGATTGCACTGGAAAATCTGCGAGCTGTGCTGCTTTCTGGCCCCCCAGGACCAGAATGGGGTTACCCTGCATTATCTGTACTACATAGGCTGAGAGTAGGATTAAGCAAATATGTAAAATGGCTACAGCTGGAATAGTAACTGAACAAGTGCTCTAGACATGAAAGTGAAGAAGTAAAAGCGTTTAAAGCGTGTGTAACCAGTGTGTGTCCATTTGTGCAGGTCTGACCAACGGCTTTGCCAAGCACAGAGATAGCGGCTCGGAGTCGGACTGTAGTGCCTCCCCTCTCCTCCTCAATGAAATGTGAGAATTCTTCTCTCTCCAAACCCCAAGAAAGTCTTTCGCTGCATGTTTTATAGCCGTTGTCTCAGTGAACCACTGCTGGTGTTAATTTATTGTTTCAGACAATAATAATATGTGGAGTTGAGCTGATTTTTTTTTTCCTCTTCTGAACAATTAGGTGTACTTATTAAAAGCAGTTTGAATGTGGTCTATAAAAACATGAACCTAACCCAGGTTTGAACCCATTTCACCACAGAGCTCCTCCTCTGAAACGCAGTCGCGGAAAACCGGCACTTTCCAAAGTGCCATTTCTGGATGCTGTGAATGGCGATTCAGATTACACTGGGACAGGTCAGTGTACAAGTATATGTCACATCATCATCATTATTTACGAGTTTAGCATCCAAATAAAATATATCTACTTATGATGGATCTGTCCATTGTAGTAAGTACATTAGAAAGAACTGGAAATGGTGAATTGCTAAATATCAATATCCGTAGACTCGGGTCATTGACTTATTGCCAGTCTTTTCATATACGATTAAAATTGCTTAATTGTCACTCATTAATTTCTGCTCAGTATTAAGGTTTAGGTCATATCTTATTTTTCTTTTATGGTGTCAAATATTCTTCTATCTTGTATTGCAGATATCAATTTATAACTTCATCAAAACAAAATGATTATCTAAGACTGGCTCTTCTAGCAATTTCATATTGTCAGTTTGGTTCTTTGTGTTAGAAAATTTGTCAGAATTTGCCAGAAAGGAAATTTTTCTTATGGACACTTATCCAAATTTGGTTAATCTCTAGCTAGTATCTCCAAATTTGAATTCCCAAGCTTCTGTTTACTGGTCTAACTGGACTTAGTAGAAACCTGCTTTAGGGATTAATTTGAGAGAAAATGGCAGAGCCCAACCTTTCTTAACCCGGGACCACTAAATGTAACTTGGCTGGGTTTAAAGTCCTGGCCCTGTCTCATTTATATAATTTGCTAGAAGTGTGAAGAATTTAACTGCAGTGTTTGAATTTATTTTATTATTTCTTGTCGACTGTTGGCTATAAAAATATCGGGCATAAAATCATATTGAGTTTGTTAAAAGAAATACATGCAAAGTTAGGAAAAGCAAAGGGCCGGCGATTCCTCTGGCCCTGGGTATGGAGTATCGTAGCTGCCGTGGCTTTAAGCCCAGCAGAATCCATCGCTTCCTCCTCCTCAGGAGAACCCTGCCACGCTGGGTCGGAGTGTGGAGAGCTAATCGGTACCCTCTGCATCTGCAGGCAGGAGTATCCTGATGCCCTTTGAGAATGGAATGGAACTGGAGCCTCTAGACCTTGTGTGGGCAAAATGTCGAGGTTACCCCTCATACCCTGCTCTGGTGAGCTTTCACTGTTCTGTTCATACAGTGCAGTTCATATACGGAACTACATACACATACTGATTTCATATTTTCCATGAAACCTCCTGCTTTTATTCATGAAGTAAGTTTGAAAATATAGTCAAGACATAAGTCATTAGAAATAATGATTTACTGCTTCAAGCTTTGCTTTCATTAAAGAATCCTCCATCTGCAACAGTCACAGCCTTGCAGAGCTTTGGCATTCTAGCTGTCAGTTTTAGGTAATCTGCAGAAATTTCACTCCATGCATCCTGAAGCACCTCTGTGGTCCTTTGATTTGTGTTTCCATTCATACTCCATGCTCCTGTGTTCTTTTCTGCATTTTAATCCTTTCGTCAGATATGGCTTTTTCTTTGAAATTCAAACTGGAAGGCAGCGTCCCAGAGTGGTCTCTCTACTGGTGAAGGCGAGATTGGTGTTTTGCAGTGCCTCTTTATTAAAGTTGTCATCTGAAGACCTATGCAGCATCATTTCTCAAAACTCGAGTTTTCTAGGCTATTTATCTGATGTTTTGTTTTTTTTTTAATTGAGATAAAGTGTGATTTCCTTTCAAAACTCAGAATGATGTTCCCATGCGTCTATATAACGTATACATCTTATTTGCATCATGACCTCAGTAATACACTTTATAGGTTCTGTATATCCATCCCACTCCGATGCTGTGAATGTGTAAAGCTTAATCTGTGGTCGGTCAGTGAACAGGAACATGTGACATGAAAACTGTGTTTGAGGACATTATTAGAGAGAGGTTTTACTAAACTAGGGAGGAACAAAAATGTAGACCGGTGAATTGGTTTCAGCACAAAGGAAACATAGAAAAGTCAATGCGCTCTTGGCTGTGCTATAGTAGGGTACAGGCTGTGTTGGGATTGGGGGAAATCATACACTACGTTTACATGCACACTAAGAAAATTAAATTATTGTATTAGTTAGACTAAACCCGGACTAAACAGTGCGCATGTTCCACAGTCCCGTTACCTCCCCCCTGGCTTTGACCCAGAAGTAACAGAAAAAGCTGGTTGTAATGAGAAGCTTAGAGCATAGCAGCTGTAAGGCTGTCAAATTCCCTGCTAAACAAAAGGGCGCTTTTCCACCACACCAGATACCGTACTTTTGGTACTTCAAGAAGGTAAGAAAAGTACGGTACTTCAAGGTGATGGTTTCCTCTATCGGTGCTGAATGACATCACAACACGAGGCAGGGTATTTTGTACTGAATTTGAAAAATAGCTGTAGTAGGACTGGATGATGTGCGATATTAATACCAACCTCGCAAGCTATGTACATGCAATTCTTACATCGTTAGTCAGCTAGATTAAGATCAGGCTTTTTTTTTTTAACCTTCAGTTTAATGTGAATATTATACTGCAGGGAGTTTGTCTCACGAAAACATTTTTACTCTCATAGGAAAAAAAACCTAGCAAGTTGCGCAGTTTTAATCATTATTAATTATCTGCTCCTTTTGCATAAGCACTGCATGTGTTCTCGGAGACAATCGTATCATAATCATTTACATCCTTACTGTTTAAATCACTCCTACACGGGTTAGTGAGTAATTTATGTAGAACTTTTTTTTGTTTCATAAATACCCTAATATTTATTACAACAAAACAATTTGGTGCTGTCCATAGTATATTATACAAAATACTTTACTTTTTGTTATGCTATCCTGACCTTGTATCTGTTCTTCCGACCAGATTGCAATTAAAGCTTGTGTTACATCATTTGTCCATGCATCCATTATTATACATTTAATTATTTTTTTATGTCCGTGATGTAATAGGTCGAACGGAAAAAGCCCAATACTAATGTGCTGAGAGGAGCCGTATTGCCACCTGTTGTAGCGGAGTCGGACATACTTCGGTCAATAAACTGATTCCCCTCCCGTGCACGTATACTGGAACAAGGACAGCATAATACACCCATAGCTCGACTTAGCTGTGCATGTAAACGTAGCGATAGATTAAATGAATGAGTGGCTCGTCACCTGACTCTGTGTTTTCTTCCTTGCCATCCCTGTTTTCCCCCCTCAGATCATCGACCCAGACATGCCCCAGGAGGGTTTGCTACACAACGGCGTGCCAATTCCCGTGCCCCCGCTGGATGTCCTGGAGCTGGGTGAACAGAGGCAGGAGGAAGCAGGAGAGAAACTCTTCCTTGTTCTCTTCTTTGACAACAAGAGGACCTGGTAAGAAAAGGCTGGGAGATCTTTCTCAGTCAGTCTGCAACTTCGGACTGTGAGTTTTGTGTTTGTCAGCATGACTCTGTCAAATACCATGAGGGCTGTGTAAGCATGATCAAAATTGGGTTAAATCCCAGTGTCCTAGTGTACTCCGCTCAAATCAGTCCAGTGAAATGCTCACTTTCAGTAAATGGGTGAGAGTAAGTCGTATAAAGTATTCAGAAAGGTATTTGCTGAACCGTTGAATAGCCATTTTCCAGATGAATATTTTCCTGAAGCGATAAGTACTCCGGTACAACAGCACTGTCTTGGGCCAAGGCCGAGCTTTGACGCTGCTACCTGAATGCTTGTTAAAATTCAGAGGGCACTAATGCAGTATTGCTTGCTGCCTTGACAAAACTCCCACAAGTGGGGGGGGGGGGGGTTAGGAATTGTTATCTGTTTAAATTGTCTAAATAGTTTTTGCATGAATTGTCATGATGTGGAAGATGCATAAGCTTTACGTGCTTACAGGCGAGAGCAAGCTTGGGGGTTATACCGCAGGATTGGCCAGAATCCTGCACCTCTTGCAGCAATTGGTCCAGGGATTTGAACCATTAACCTTCCAATCACGGGGCGTGCGCAGAGACACACCCACCCACACCTAGCTGGGCCAATTAGTGGTCACCAGCTGTGTCCTATCGGCCCTCCCTGTGGCCAACTGTAAAGAATCCATGATCTGCGTGGTGCTTCTTGTATGTGCATAGTGGATTCCCAGTAAAAAAAAAAATCATGTTGCAGCATATTTAGAAATGTAGATGTATGAAACTCAAAAATATATTCAAAATATAATTTCACACTATTCAGTTATGGATTTGGATCATCGTCCATTTTTGGTTCATCTGCAGGATTGCTTCACATCCCAATTTAATATTCAATGCTCCTCTTTGTTAATAATACACCCTGTCCTCGACTTACGGCTCACACATGGGACTGACGTAATCATTTATTTTTTAAAGAGAACGTATGTGAAAATAAATTTCCCGCAGCCTTGTGGCTGGTAGCCCTACGTTACCTAGTGTGTGCTGTACGATGGTTACAGCAGGAAAGTACTGTACTTAAATGGATTCCCAACTATCCCAGTCCCACATGCATCTCCCAGTCTCATCATCACTCCTAAAAGTAGGGATGGGGAAAAAAATATCAATTCTGTGATTAATCGCAATACTGGTTTTGATAATTCAGTATTGAGGGAAATCTTATTTTATGTCTTTTCCCTATGACTTCGAATTTTCAAATAAATAAATACATAAATAACATGCCCTTTGTTGTTAAGTAATGTTCAGGTTCACGCATCACTAACAGTGCTTGGACCAATCGGAGATAAGAAGTCAGTGTATTTCCAGAGTTGGGTAATTCAGGTCCAGAAAGTAAAAGTCCAGACCGGGATTTTATTTCAACAAACCAGTTGAGTCCTCTGTGACTGTGACTGTTTATGCTCAACTGGTTGATTTCCAGGTTTCGCAGACTCATCCAATAAAGCCATTTACTAGCCTGGCCCGTCTTTGTCATCATACTGACTTTTAAATCGTTTTGCTTTATTTACTTTCTATGATTCGTCTATGTCAAAATAATTACTGCTAAAGCAAATGCTAACCCTGTTTCTTAACTGCATCATCTTGCATAATACGGTACATGTAAACCATATAATAATAATTTTTCAGAAAATTTTAGTACGATTGAACGTTTTTCAGTTTTTGCGATATTTAGAAGAAAACGTTCTATATAGCCAAATAGAACTTATCAACAGAGTCTGTCAAATGAGTTGGTGTCGTCGTTCACTGTGACAGCATATACAAAGCAGTGCTGACTGATCACCTGCCTTTGCTCAGTATCATCTATCAAATACAGAATATTTCAATGAAGTGGAAGAGGAATGTCACCAGTTCTGGTTCGCTTTTCTCCTCTTTGCTCGTTTTGTTTAAAATCTCACTGACCACAGTCCTGAGTGAATCAAATGTTAAGGACGAGAATTATTATGGCTGTCTCAGAGAGCACGTGCAGAGCTCATGCAAAAGCAGTAAACTTTTAGACTGTTTTTTTTAATGTATGCTAGGTAATTATAAACGGGAACCATCATTAAGCTGACAAAATTTTCAATTATTTGACTGACCGAGAATGTTTTAACGTAGTGTATTGATGGTTTGAACCCAGGAGACTATTGCGGTCTTTACGATATCAGAATTGAATGTGCAGAAAATGGCATGCCGGTATTAGCATCGCACATCATAACAGTCCGTCAGCGTGGTGCAGTGGTGCAGTGGGTAGCACCGTCACTGCACACCTCCAGTTTGTGTGTTTACCATGTGTGTGTGTGTGTGTGTGTGTGGGCTTTTTGATGGACTTCGGTTTCCTTCCACTGTCAGAAACATGCAACTTTAAATGAATTAGAGTGATCATATGTGTAATCCTGCAATGGTTGTTTGGTTCCTGCCTGATGCAATGTATGTAATATAATTTAATATAATCCCAGTGGGGACCAAGCAGTTACGATAATGGGTGGATGGATGGATGGATGGATAATATAATATACATAAACGATTTCTTGATGAATCATCAGATTAATCAGTAGATTACTTGATTATTGAAATAATCAGTAGTGACAGCCCTTAAAAAGAATAATTAAGAAAACCACAAAACAGTTTGTGAGGTTTTTTTCTCCCTATCAACTTTCAAATAATTTGCTGTTTTGTCGAACAGAGGCAAACATTTTTTATTTTTATTATTTGATTGATTTAATAATCTACTCTACCTGAGGAAGTTGCATTCCCATGAAATTTTGTTGAAAATGAATGGTAAAATCCAGCTGTCCATTACAATATGTAAAATGTGGTCACTTTGTCCCATAAATGTATAAATGAGGGTCAGACATTCACATGTCTGTAAAATGATAAAACTTCTTGGAGGTTTATTTTGATTGACTTTGTGTGTATGTCTGCTTGTGAGCAGGAAGATGCCGAAACAGAAGATGGTGTTTTTGCCGGAGGATAATGAAAGCAAAGTTAGATGGGTTCTATATGCCGCCTTAGAGTCTTCATGTCTGAGTTGTTCACTGCAGCCTGCTGTCACCTCGCAGGCAGTGGCTCCCCCGAGACAAGCTGCTGCCCTTGGGCGTGGACGACACCGCAGACAAGCTGCGCATGATGGAGGGTCGGAAGACCAGCATCCGCAAATCCGTGCAGGTGGCCTACGACCGAGCCATGGTCCATCTGAGCCGTGTGCAGGGTGACCATCCCTTTGTCACCTCCAACTACCTGTAGACAGAATGGGGTGAGACAGAGGATGACAGTTAATCGTTTCCCTCAATTTCCACACTGCTGTTGTTCAGTAGGCTGGAGCAGGCATAAGTTGTGTCTTGATGTCGGGGCCTAGGATCCTGATGGCTTTTGGCATTTCTAATTTGGGGACTGACAGCAGTTAGATTGTCACCCAAGTAACTGCTCCAGTCTAGTGCAAGCTATGGTGAGACAAAGGCCAGCAAATTTAGTTGAGTTTGAGTTACACTGTTCAAAGAGGAGGTGACTATCATCCATTTATACCGCACCCCTCGTGGGAGCCATTGTCCCTGATCCCACAGTGCCCTGGAGATTAGATTAAAATCCAGAGGCCGTGCGCACTCTGACTGTGCTGTCCCCCTGAGCACACTCCCAGCACTCTTTGGGAGATTGAAGGCAAACTGCATTCATTACAGTGTGGTTCAGAGGAACTTAATTTTATTATTATTTTTATTATTTTTTTCCTTTTGTCAAAGACTACTGTAGTGAAAGGAATTACTTTGGTAAGGGAAAAAAAATCACTTTTCATATTTGTATAAAAGTATGAATTGATCACTGCCATTTTCTTACAATAGCTTTTTACTTTTTAATATTTTACAAAACCACTTGTACATTGAAAAGACACATTCATGTATATATATGTTTATATCATTCAGTACCTTTTAATTTAACATTTTGTTAAAGGTGAACTAAGTCATCTGCAAGAAGGAAGAAATATGAAGAGACCTTTGTATATACTTGTAAAATAGTCCCTTAAGTATGGACTGGCTTCATTGTGTATTCAGCTTATATGTGATGACAGTGTTTTCTCACACATGTATAATAAAACATTTGGTTTGATAATTTATTTATGGGAAGTTCAAAACAAATGAAATTATATATTAGTTGACATTTGAAAGTAAATGTTATTTAATATAAGCTATTGAAAAGGATTTAAGAATGAGGATCCACAGTGGACTTTGTGGCTCTGTTGTTGTGAGATTTATAAAATTCTACTGTTGAGAGTTGACTTGTCATTTTTACTGGATGTAACTGCAGATATCTAGTCCACTGTCAAGCACAGAACCTTGTATTTATTGTAGAAAGAGTTTACTAGAATTATAGACCATGTTTATATACGATGGTGCTGATGAGAAATTTTAAGCTTGTACAAAATGCAGATTTTACCTACTTGCCTATAACTGGTCTGAATCAATATTTTCTCATGGTGGGAAATAAATGTTCTAATCAAAAAAATCACTTTGTGGTGCCTACTTCTGAGAAGACTGTTCGTTCTACTGTAAGAAATGGTGCAGCACAGAATTCTCAGTCTCAGCCTTGTCATTTCAGGTACCAAAATTAGTTCCCTGGGCATGATTGGCCTACTGAGATGTGAATCTGGGTTTTCCTAATGTTGGACTGAAACCTTGGACCTGAAATGCACCCAGGAAAACTAGTATGTACTTTTCCAACTTAAAAGAATTAAGAGATGTGGCCTTGATCTCTATTAGTAAGCAGTTTATTTGGTGTAGTTGGAGTTATTAGATATCACCAATGGTGAAGTAATCAATTTGCCACCTAGAAACTTCTGAAATCTGTGAGGATTTCTCTCTTGGCTATTTTAGGTATAGGAAGTTTTATGAAAACATGGAAAGTTTTATTAATAGTGAAATCCCTGAAACTGTGACTGCTGGGAGAACTAGCTATGGATCAGTAATTTATGGCTGCATGTTTTGCTGAATTTTAAATGGTTTTACTGAAGCAAAGACCTAAAATATAACTGCTTGGCCATAATTTATAAATAGGCAATAATAATGAGATTCATTAATTTCATGAAAATGGGTTATTTATGAAGGATGTGACTCTCAGTACCTACCTCGTGAATCATCAGTATGTATGCATGCTGGTTTGCAGCAAGTGTATCTGGAATAAATTATTCAGGGCAATTTTTTTAGTACTATTACAGCTGTGGTCAAAAGTTTACATACACTTATACAATGGACATGTATGTCATGGTAGGGTTAGGTATTCAATGATTTGAAAATTCTCTGGGTTCCTGACTGAATTAAATGGAGGAAGAGGGAGTGAGGAACTGCGGGAATATCGCGGGAGTAGACGGCTTGTAGTCTGAGTGTAGTTCCATCGCTGCCCGGTTGGGACATTCCAGACAATCGGGGCAGTAAGAGAATGACCGATATGCCAGACACCGCAGTCCAGCAGCCCAATTTTAGAAACAAAAATCTGAGAGAGCCAGTGCACCAGTAGCTTGGCTTTTTTGAACATGGGCTTTAAGACCAAGAGTGCTTACCCTGCCATATATGAGAGACTGTTGAATCCAATTGGTCGAAAATGGATCTGGGGATAAAGATTAGTAATGCCCGAAATAGGTAGAAAAAGTACAGCAGAAGTCCAGTTATTTGTTGTGTTTATGGAAGGTAACTCCCCTTCCAAACAGTAATCTTACTCTTCCTCTCCACCAGCTAAACGGGACATCACTACTCCTCACTAAGGTATAGCAAATACAATTTTCATTTTATTATACATTATTTACATATTTTATTTTATTGATTTCATGTTTTAATCTAAGGGTGGCGCGGTGGCTAGCACTGCTGCTTCACAGCAAAAAGGTCCTGGGTTTGATCTCTGGGTCGGACGTAGGTCCTTCCTCTGTGGAGTTTGCATGCTCTCCCCGTGTTCGCGTTCGGTATCTGTCGGGGGTTCCGGTTTCCTCCCACAGTCCAATTCGGACTTCAAACAATTTAGACTTCGAACGGCCTCCTGAAACGAATTAAATTCAAAGTACGAGGCACACCTGTAATTACAGGGATGACTTTCTCTAGTCTATGAGTTAGGACCTTAGCTAGGATTTTAGTGTCCACGTTTAAGAGTGAGAAGACCGGAAGAGGAAGAGTCAGTTGGGTCTTTTCCTTTTCTAACAATAAGAGTGATAGAAGCCTCATTGAATGATCAAGGGAGAGAAGCCTGTCCACAGGATTCAAGAAAGGACCAAGCACAACTGTGGGGAGAGTAACAGAGAGGATTTCTGCCGGGAAACCTTGACTGCATTGTGGAAATAGCTCTCGGGATATAGGCTGTGGAAGGAAAATCGCTTCTGGCAAGGAGACGGTTGAATCAAGTATCAACAAGTCCGCTTGTCAGACCTCTAGCAGTGGACTCAAGGAAGGCTTCCAAGTGGGGACAGCAAATGCAACTTCAAAGGTACAAAGAATCACGAGCCTTTGGTCGGCTGGTTATTCACACCTCGTTTCCTGGGGGGGCCAAGTGGGGATGAAAGAAATGGCATGCCATTAGGACCCTGGGGGCCGGGCGGGCCACTCGCATATCAAAGGGAAGGAGTACTTGGTCAGTGGGAGGTGAGAGACGGCTCTGGTTGGGAGGTTCTCAGAAACATACATCCTGTTCTGCTTTCCCACCCTTTGGTGTTATTCTAAATTAGTTCACAGGACACCGCAATCATTGCAGAATGACTCCGTTTCTTAGTCCCTCAGCTTCTTCTTTAAATGGTTCAGATTCAGTAATATGGAGGCTAAGTGTCTGTATTTAGCTTGCAGTAAGCAGGAGACAGGGAGCAGTTTACTGCATAGTTAGAGTCTGGTTTTAATTCTTTCTTCTGGCCATCTGCATTGAGGGAAGACAGTGTTGGCTCAGAGAGAAGAGATTACCAGCACTTCACTTGCTGGCATCTATGCCCGCGGTGTCTTCACTTACTCCCTAGGAGTAAAATATTCAGTGGTTTCACTCACAGGCCTGTGGAGTTCTTTTGCAGTGGGTGGTGTGAATACATTTGTCCCAGCCTGTGCACTTCACAGCGGACTGGGTTGTCAGCAGGACCTGGAATGGACTTTATCATCACGCCCCTCCTACAGGTGGTGAGCCCATTGGAGGGGGGGGACCCATGTGCCTTCTTGGGGCTGTACCCGACCAGGCCCCATGGGTGCAGGCCTGGCCACCAGGCGCTGGCCATCGAGACCCACCCCCAGGCCTGGCTCCAGGGGGGGGGCCCGGTGACCCGTGTCCGGGGAAGGGAAATCGTGGCTCCATTATTTCATACATCATTAGGGATCTTGTGAGCCGCACTTCATCTGGTTCCTCACCCCGGACCTGTCTGCCTTGGGTGACCCTACCAGGGGCATAAAGCCCTGGGCAACTTAGCTCCTGGAATAATTGAAGCACGCAAACCCCTCCACCATGACAAGGTGTCGGTTCCAGGAGAGGGCAAGTTACTGGCACTGTCAATAATCGACCAAAGTCTGAACAGCATCCACCTCACTGTGACCTAGTTTTCCTGATCAGCTCGAGTCTGTTCCCTTCTGCCCCTTCACCCTTCTGCCCCAGCACACAACAGCATAGAAAATGCCACTGGCTACCTCAGACTCATAGAACATTTATAACATGGTGTTTCAGACTCTGAAGGAGCTGGGCTTCCTCAGGAAATACACTCTGCTCTGAGTCTTCCTGTAGCGTGCAGTACAGTTCTTAAACCAGTTCAGCTTGCTATCCAGGTGGACACCCAAACACTTCTAATCCAATTTCCACCTCTTTTCCCTGAATGGACAGGGGGGCAATAAGATATCGTGACCTCCTCTGATCCACTACCAGTTCCTTCATTATACCAATGTTATAGATGATTCTGGGAGCACCAGTTGTCCAAGTTGTCCACCACGCTTCTGACTCCATCCTTCTTACAACCAACAACTACATCAGATTGATCCGAAATACTGTGTAGACATTGTTAATGTTGTAAATGACTATCATAGCTGGAAGCAGCTGTTTTTTAATGGAATATCTACATAGGTGCACAGAGGCCCAATATTAGAAACAATTAGTCCTGTGTTCCAGTGGAATGTTGTTTGCTAATGCAAGTTAATCATATAAAAAAGTTAATTGATCATTAGAAAACCCTTTTGCAATTATGTTAGCACAGATGAAAATTGTTGTGCTGATTAAAGAAGCAATAAAACTGGCCTTTGGACTAGTTGAATATCTGGAGCATCAGCAATTGTGGGTTCGATTACAAGCTCAAAATGATCAGAAACAAAGAACTTTCTTCTGAAACTTGTCAGTCTATTCTTGTTCTGGGAAATGAAGGCTATCCCATGGGAGAAATTGCCAGGAAACTGAAGATCTCGTACAATGCTGTGAAGTACTCCTTTCACAGAACCACGCAAACGGACTCTAACCACAACAGACAGAGGAGAGGGAGGATAAATATATTAGTGTGTAGTTTGTGAAACAGACGTCTCATAGGTCTTCATTAACTAGTACCCGCAAAAGACCAGTCTCAACGTAAACAGTGAAGATGTCACGGCAGGGGTTGTGGGAATAAGGAGGACACTATTGCGGATCAGTCCGGTGAGCAGATTTTAATATCTTCTCCGTAATACAGGGTGGGGGGGGGGGACAAAAGCGTAGATCCAAAAATTGTGATGGAAGTACGGGCAGCGGTCGGGCGATCTGTGTTGGTATCCAGGGGAACAGGCAGGTGGTCAGGTGATCTTTATCAGGTCAGAGGGTTAGGCTATATTTGTCGTCGGGAGAAGCAGAACAGGGGTCGGGGAAACAGGTAGAGGAATAACGGGACAGAAATGCTGAAACTCGCAAAGATAGCTGAAGATCTCGCGTCTGGCTGCTGTGCCAGATGCGAATAAGAAGGATCTCTCATTAACCCAGATGGGCATCAGCTGTTAGAGGAAGGCATACAGTAACCGGTTCTGCTGGTTCACGGGGCGAGTGGGGAGGGAGCGCTCCGGCCACCACGGGAAACCCTGGGGGCGTGGCAGGGAAATAAAATTAACTACAATTAAACAAGAACTATTGCCTCACTTGTCTTCCCTCTTTCTTGTTTTTGTATTATTATATCTTAATGATGTTCTGATGTACCACACCACGCCTATGTAAAGCGCCTTGGGGCGACTCAGCTGTGAAAGGTGCTATATAAGAATTGAATTTAATTTAATTTGAATTGAATTGAATTGTACATCACTGGACAAAAGCATCTACTAAATACAGTCAGGCACTGCATAATGATGTTTCAGTCAATGATGCACTGCATATATGACGGTGATCCCATGCATAAGATTATAATGGAGCTGAAAAATTCCTATCACCTAGTGACTTCGTAGTTGTCATAACATCGTAGCACAACGCATTACTCACATGTTTGGTGATGTTGGTGTAAACAAACCTACTGCACTGCCTGTTGTATAAAAATATAGCACATACAATTATGTAGAGTGC